CTACCACGGGGTCTTGGGCAGACCGGCCCTAAAGGAATTGGGAGCAGTCACCTCCATCCACCACCTATGCATGAAATTCCCAATAGAAAATGGGGTGGCAACGGTGAGAGGTGACCAGAGAGGTTCGCGAGAGTGCTATCTGAACTCCATTAAGAAGGTGGAGCCCCGAGACGTCCATGTGATCGTGGCTGATGTGGTTATGACGGATGTCCCAGGTGACGCTCCCACTGACCAGGAAGATGTTGATATGATTGACGCACTCCTCGTTCAGGAGGCGCTGATCGATGAGATCGACCCCCGCATAATGGAACATGAGCCCCAAGCATCCCCCGTAGAGGAACTTGAGAGCTTCTCAGCCGACCCTCGAGATCCGTCCAAGGTGCTGAAAGTAGGCAGGGGCTTATCCGACATTTTGAGAGAAAAGATTAAAGATTTTCTAGGCAAGAACCTGGACGTCTTCGCCTGGAAACATGAGGACATGGTTGGCATAGACCCCAAAGTCAGCTGTCACCACTTGAAAATCGACCCCAATTTTACCCCGCATAGACAAAAAAGGAGAGCCCTCAACCCAGAGAGGTATGAGGCCCTGAAGGAAGAGGTTCAGAAACTAATCCAAAATGACTTCATCAGGGAGGCCACCTACCCGAAGTGGGTGTCCAACCCGGTCTTGGTTAAGAAACCCAATGGCAAATGGTGAGTGTGCATCGACTTCACCAACCATAATAGAGCTTGCCCGAAAGATAGCTTTCCGCTTCCAAGGATTGACCAATTGGTGGACTCCACGGCTGGGCACGAGTTATTGAGCTTCATGGATGCATACTCCGGATACAACCAGATCCCCATGCACTCGACTGATGAGGAGCACACCTCTTTCATCACGGATCGAGGCCTCTATTGCTATAGAATGATGCCTTTCGGGTTGAAAAATGCCGGAGCAACTTACCAAAGACTCGTGAACAAAATGTTCGCCGACCTCATTGGCAAGACAATGGAGGTCTACGTGGATGATATGCTAGTGAAAAGCTTAGAGGCAGAAAGCCACGTATCGCACCTCAACAACACCTTCCAAATCCTGAGAAGGTACAGGATGAGGCTCAACCCCTTGAAATGTGCCTTCGGGGTGGCTTCCGGCAAGTTCTTAGGATACATGGTTAACCAGCGAGGAATTGAAGCAAATCCCGAAAAAATTGAGGCTCTGTGCCAGATGAGGTCCCCCCAAAAGCCAAAGGAGGTGCAAAGCTTAACTGGGCGAGTGGCAGCACTTAGTCGCTTCGTCTCCAAAGCAACTGACAAGTGCCTCCCATTTTTCAAAGTACTCAAGGCTGGGAAAAAATTCCAATGGACTGAGGAATGCGAAGAGGCCTTCCAAGGATTAAAAAGGCACTTGGGACAGGCCCCCCTCCTCTCCAAGTCGAAGCCCGGCGATATCTTGCAACTATACCTCGCGGTCTCCAATGACGCCATCAGTTCGGTTTTGATTCGGGAAGAAAGGTCCACCCAACTTCCCGTCTACTACACGAGTAAAGCGCTCCTATCGCCGGAGACCCGATACCCCGATATGGAGAAGCTTGCTTTGGCCCTAATCACGGCCTCTAGGAAATTGAGACCATACTTCAAAGCTCATATCATCCATGTACTTACAAATTTTCCCCTGAAGCAAGTACTCCAGATCCAGGAGCCCGATGCCTCGGGAAGATTGTTGAAATGGGCAGTGGAACTAAGCGAATTTGACCTTGTGTTCAAAGCAAGGGCGGCCATCAAAGGGCAAGCGTTAGCAGACTTTGTTGCTGAATTCACCAACCTGCCCGAGGTGGATGAAATCATGGAGCCCGTCGAACTCCCCACGTGGAGCCTCTTCGTAGATGGCTCGGCTGGGGATGTCGGCTCAGGTGCCGGGGTTGTCCTCATCAGCCCCGAGGGTCACAAACTCACCTCGGCTGTGAGGTTCGGGTTCAAAGCTACCAACAATGTTGCAGAGTATGAAGCACTCCTTGCAGGCCTCAGACTGGCCAAGGAAATGCAAGTAAAGAAGCTACTCGTCAATAGTGACTCCCAGCTGGTTGTTAACCAAGTTAATGGTAATTTCTCAGCCAAAGATAGAACAATGACCTCCTATCTGAAAATGGTGATGGGCCTCATCCCATCCTTTGAAAAGTTCGAGTTAATCCAGATTCCCCGCATCGAAAATGCTCATGCGGACGCACTCTCGAAGCTGGCTAGTAGCAAGGACTCGGAGCTACTCAATGTAGTGCCTATCGAGCACCTCCTACTGCCTTCTACCGAGGCCCCTAATGTCATGTGGGTCGGTGGAATTCCCACCTGGATGCAACCAATTATAGCATACCTGAAAGACCAGGTGCTACCCACCGACAAAAATGAGGCTTACAAGCTAAGAAGGAGGTCAGCCCATTTCCTCTTCATCGA